CCAAAGCCCGCCGACACCCCCCCCCCCCCCCAAAAAAAATCACAAACGGGTGTGAGTACAAGTGACACCCTCGGGTGACAACAAACACCCCAATCACCCCAAAACCCCTCCTGAGCTCGCTGAACAACTTCCAGGAACCCCAAAAGCTCTCCAGAGCTCCCTGAGCGGCTCCCAGGGACCCCAAAACCCCTCCAGGACACCCCAAAGCTCTTCCGGAGCTCCCCTAAAAACCTCCAGGTACCCCAAGTCTCCTTCACGTCAGCCTAAAGCTCTTGCAAGACACCTCCAGAGACCCAAAGCTCCTCCGAGACAGCCTGAAACCCTCCCAGGCACCCCAAAACCCTCCAGGGTACCCCAATGCCTTTCCCAAGGCACCCTCAGGGACCCCAAAATTCCTCCCGAGGCTCCCTAGAGACGCCAAAACGCTGCCAGGGGATCCTGCGCCACTCTCGGACACCCCAATGTTCTTCCAGAGGCTCCCAGGGAACCCCAAAACCTTCCTGAACCCCGTTCGTGTCCCCGAACCCCCTCAGAGCTCTCCCCTCTCCCCCAGTTCAGCCCCCCGGGCCTGTGGGGGGCGCTGTCCCCGCCCGCCCCCGCTCGGGGCCTCTCCGCGCCCCGCTCTCGCTGCCCCGGCGCCATCTCCCGCCGCCGCTCGCCCTCAGCCGCCGGCCCCGCTCCCGCCTCGGGCCCCGCGGTTCCGTCCGCGCCGCCCCGGCCCCGGTACCATCTCATCGGGGCTCAGGATCCCGAACTGGACTCGTTTGATGGTGCGCAGCGGGCAGGCGCTGTCGCCCGAGGGCGGCCCGCCGTGCATGGCGCCGGTGGAGCCGCGGCCTCGCGCCGCTCCGACTGATCGGAATCGACCCCTTCACGGAAGGGTTGGAGGGGGGAAGAGTTTGAACCCCACCGGGGAACCGGGAACCGGCGTCTCACGGAGCAGCCGGCACGGAGCTCCCCCCTTTCCACTGCGGCCGCTCCGCGCCCAAGGCGCGACTGGGCGCTGTGAGGCGGCGGCGCCATCTTATATAGACTCGGCCCCCGCGCGCAGCCGGAGGGGGCGTGGCCGGAGCGTACCAAGCGCCTCACAAGCAATAGGGGGGGCCGCGGAGAAGAAGCGGCGGGAAAGAAAGGGAGAAGCGAGTCCCGTTACGGCCCGTGAGGCGAACGACGAGCGGGGAAAGGGAAGGGAGTCGGGGGCTGCTCCGTGAAGCCCTCGCGGGACGCGCCGTCGCCGGACCCCGCGCTTCCAGCACGGTGGGATCGGTTCATGAATAATTTATTTTCAAAGCACCGCCCCCCCCAGAGCTGAGAGATCGGGGGGGCGGAGGGAGGGCGGCGAAGTGACCTCAGAAGCCGGCGGGGATTGACGGAGTTTGACGGAGATCAACGAAGCACTGCCGGAAGTGGGCGGCGATCGCCGAAGGGCCCCCGGAGGGTGACGGAAATGACCGAAGTTAAACGGAGGTGCCCGAACGCTGACGGAAAGAGACGGAACTGGCCGAAACACTGGCGGAAGTTATCGAAAGGTGCCGAAGCACGAGCGGATGATCCCGGAAATTGCCGAGTGTCACACGAAAGATGCCGAAGCAAAGGCGGACGGTGACGGAAAGGGGCGAAGCTCCGCTCCAGCCGCGGCCTGCGCAGCCCCGGCCTCGCCCACCCGTCCCGGCCGCTCCCGCCGCTCCCAACCCGGCTGTGGCCGCTGGGAAAGGCCGAGGCTTTGGGGCCTGTTCCGGAGGAGACGGAGGGGTGGTGGGGAAGGGGCTGGAGAGGAGCATTGGGAGTGGAGGAGTATTTTAGGAGCGAGAAGAGGGGATTTGAGGGGACAGGAGGAGTTGGGGGCGCAACTAAGGGCCTGAAGGTTGTTGGCAGAGCAGGAGGGGTGTGAGGTTATAATTGGGGTAGGAAAGGGGTATTTGTTTGTGGGACAATTACAGACAAAGAGCGGGATTTAGCGGAGCAGGAAAGGGTTTGGGGGGACAATTGGAGCAGTAAAAGAATGTTTGAGGGGAGCAGGAGAGTTTTGGAGGGGCAGGAGGGCATAATAAGAGAAAAAAAAAGGCGAATGTTGGTGTCTGGAGGAAAACGGTGTTTTGTGGGGAGCACGAGGGCTTGGGGGGAATTCTGGGGGGCAGAGAAGGAGCGGTTTGGGGAGCAGAGCTGGATTTTGGGGGTCAGGAGTGGGGGGAGTTTCCCCCTTGTCACCAGGGGCGACGCGGGTGTGACATCTCAGGGTGTCACCGCGCACAGCCGGACACGCGTGACGCAGTCTGAGGTACAACCCACCCTGTGCCCCCCAGCTGGCACAGCCGGACGCTCAACACCCCCCACACCACGGTGACAACGTGACACGAGGCGGCACGGTGACAACTGAACGCCCCCGTACACCAGAGCAGGGTCTCTGCTGCGGTTGTTGCGGCCCCGGTGGTGGTGTTGTCCCCGCGGTTGTGTCACCGCTTTGTCCCCGTGGTTGCGCTGTGGCACCGTGGTTGCGTTCCTCGCCGCGTGCCCGGCTCTGTCCCCTTGTGTCACCGGTTGTGATTTCTGTCCCCAGAAGTTTATCCCCGGTTGTATCCCAGTTGTGTCCCCGGTTGTGTCCCCGGTTGTGTCTCTGGTTGTGTCCCCGGCTGTGTCCCAGTTGTATCCCCAGTTGTGTCCCCGGTTGTGTTCCTGATTGTGCTCCCGGTTGTGTCCCCGGTTGTATCCCCGGTTGTGTCCCCGGCTGTGTCCCTGGTTGTGTCCCTGGTTGTATCCCCGGTTGTGTCCCCGGTTGTATCCCCGGTTGTGTCCCCAGCTGTGTCTCCAGTTGTATCCCCGGTTGTATCCCCGGTTGTATCCCCGGTTGTGTCCCCGGTTGTATCCCCGGTTGTGTCCCCAGCTGTGTCTCCAGTTGTATCCCCAGTTGTGTCCCCGGTTGTGTTCCTGATTGTGCTCCCGGTTGTGTCCCCGGTTGTGCGTCACCGTGTCCCCGGTTGTGTCCCCGGTTGTGCGTCACCGTGTCCCCGGGTTTGTCCCCATCTCTCTCTCCTTGCGTCCCCCGCTGTGTCACTGTAGCCCCGAGTTTGTCCCCAGTTCTGTCTCGCCGTGTCACCCAGCTTTGTGTCAGTCGCTCTGTCCCTCCTTGGTGTCCCCCCACACCCCCGCTCGTGTCCCCGGTTGTGACCCCCTGTCCCCCCTGGGGTGTCCCCTGTCCCCTCCGTGTCCCCCCCAGCTGCCTGCGCCCCCCGGCTCTACCCCCGGCCGTGTCCCCCGCTTCTGTCCCACTGTCCCCACACTTGTGCCCCCCAAATGTCCCCCCGTGACCCCCCCGGTTCTGCCTTCCACCCCCACCCC